GAGGATAATGACTACAGGAACATGTATTGGACTCTACCATGTCAGAAAGTAAATCATCTTAGCCAAAACCAATTGCCAGTGGCTGAGTTAAATTATTATTTTTATATATTGTGACCTTTTACTTCGTTAATTTGAGTTTTTCTCCTTACAATTTTGATGTCATGCACTTAAATACTATAAGTGGCTGTTTAAAACTTAATTCCTAAGTTTCAACGAGTTCACACCCCTAGCATGTAAGGGACATAACTTCGTCACAACAAACAAAGTGCTTGCAACAAGCAGTTTGCTGGTTATTTTCTTACTCTAATCCTGTAAAGTTGGCAAAGAATATGGATGATAATCTGCTCGCTCATGGTTTAAATTTGTCTTTGCTTTCTCAACTGCTTGAAAATGTAATGCTGCATCACAGATACAATCGTCAGGTGCAATATGAGTAATATTGTGTTTCCAGCCTTCGTTGACTAGCTTTCCATGAGACAGCCTATAAAATAATCTGTTTTGTGTGGTTCAAATACAATTAGGGAATTCAAGTACTCAGAACACTTTGCTTCAAGTACTCAGAACTCAAGAATCTATAGCTAGGGGGAAAGCTCAACTAATATTGGTGAGAGCGAATGATTCAGGCAGTAAAATTATGCTGCTGTTATCCTATTTCAGATTCCATCTTATGTCATGCTTGGAATTTCTAAACAAGAGGAAGCCCAACCAGCCCCACCAGCCCCCCAGCGTCCTCTTTCACCAATTGGGGAAGCATGTTCTCGAATGGATCTCACAGCAATCCATCAGATATTGGTTATGACACACTACAGAGATGATGAAGGAACCAATGAGGTAAAATTGACTGGCACGATTGATTGCTTGGTTCGCGAATGTTAATCTCTCTTACTACTCTTACTAAAGGTCGGATCTGAACATTACTTGTACCAGTTATCTTTCCAAGAGTGGACTCAACAAATGAGAGATATGCTAGAGGCAAGGAAGCGCGGGGACTATGCTTTTCGTGATAAAGAGTTCAAGACGGCAATAGATTGTTATTCTCAGGTATGGTTTTCTATTGTAATTACTATGATTAAACATGTAAGTCACCTAGCAAATGGTGCAATTTAAATGATACAATATCTAGAAGATGGATATTAACGGCAATTTTCAATGTATCTGTGTGGTTGGAATCCATGCAAAAGCCCAAGCAAAAAATAGAATACGATAAAGATCTATATATGTGATACCAATTAGTCGGATTAAGTTTTAGTCCTGTTAGTGTGTTTTCTTTAGGTTCAATGTTTTCTATAAGTCTTTTAGTCCTGTCAGAGATATATATTCCAGTAGAATCTAGGGAACTTCTAGTAACTAGCGCTTTTCATTTTATTTTTTGTATAGTTTTATAGTTTATTGAACTGAGGTGAGCTTAAATGGAGTGGCTTAGCAGTGAGGATTCATATAGCCTACTCCAAGTTGCTTGGAATTGAGGTGTAGTTTTTGTTGTTATTTGTGTGATTCATCACTATTAGCTTGAGGAAATTATATTGATATACCGTGTTGGAAATTTGTAAGAGAATTTCTATATTATATGCAAAGTGCCAATCCTATGGAATGTATTACCTTTAGTTTGGTGTACAACATATGTTTATACCCTTATAATATTCTTGAATAATAATGAGGAAAAGCACATAAAATAAAACACTATATTCACAAGTTTTTTTTTGAGTAAGGTAACAGCAGTACACATACAAGTTTTACAAGGTGAACTTTTATTCATCACTATTAGCTTGAGTAAATTATATTTATATACAGTGTAGGAAGATTTTAAAAGAATCTCTATATTATATACAAAGTGCCAATCTTATGAGTGTATTACCTTTAATTTGGTGTCCAACATATGTTTATAATTCCTGAATTCTAATGAGGAAAAGCACAAAAAGTAAACACTATATTTACAAGTTTTACAAGGTGAACTTGCACAGCTCCCTGTGGTGGCTAACTTTATTATGTTTTACTTGTAAGTTCAGCTCAAAGTTGTGTTCCTTTAATAGCCAACTGGAATTTAGCTAGAGAAAAATCACAGGAACACACTATGAATTTGAAATATGCACGCTCATCAAGTGTGACATAAGATTTGGTTAATGATAAAATATTACCACCTTGGAATATTTTGTTCCCTGGTTTTTAAAACAACTACTTGTGTTGTTAATTTCATGTTTTGCCAAAACAAAGCAAATCTCTTTGAGGATAAATTATACAAATACCTAGGTTTCAAGTTGTGACTTTGCGATGAATTACTTGTACGAGATTTTCTCTTTTGTTGGTCCAAGTGTATGAACTGCTTCTTTCTAAAAACGTGTTGGGTGTGAGAACAAAGTCCCGCATTAGTAGCTGAAAAGAAAAAGAAACATATAAGGTGTAGGGACACTCTTAATGGTGTGAAGCCTTTTGGGGAAAACTATACAAGCTTGGCTCTAAGCGGACAATATCACCCAATATTAAGAGTGTCTTTGGGCTGGCTTAGCCCAACAGATGTTAATGTGAAATTTCGGTATATGCCTTTTTATTTCAAATTAAACATTTGACAGTTGATACATCTGCTGAGTTTAGGATTTTGATTAACAAGGTTCAGTATCTTTTTTTTTGCTCACTTGAATTTTCTTCAATGGTTTAAGAGGAGGCATCCCGAAGCAAGATACTCTTGGAATTGATGGGAAATTAAATATGAAATTAATGTTCAAAAGTTATAAATCGTACATTGTTTAGTAGAGTGACATATACTGGACAAGGATTTGCTTATGAATCAACCTATACTATGATCTCTAGCTTCTGCCAATAGCTTTTATGTCATGGATAAGTTAAGGTGGATTTAGGATTTGAAGTTAGTGGGTTTAGAGTTTTACTACTGTGGCAGTCAGCTGGAATCTTTATCCATGTTCAACTACTATAGCTGTCAGCTGGTATAGAGTTCTACTACTCTAGCAGTCAGCTGGAAACCCAAACTATTGAAGAACTGGAGCCTGTTGCAAGAGCACAGTAATATTGGGGCGATATTTAATGTGATCTTTATCTATGTTCAATATGTTATTGCTCTGTTGGAACCTAAGCAACTTATTATGCTGGGCTTAACTATTTTTTGACTAGATAAAAGTTGGCATGAATGTGGATTTTCTTTCCTACCTTAAGTTATCATTAATTTCTCAGTTGATCTACCGAAAAAAATGAAAAAAATCATTGATTTCTGAAAAAAGGATCATATCAAACTCTGTACAGAATTCGGTTTCCGAGAGATATGGGGGAACTTACTGATTTTTCAATTGAACAACTGAGGTTTTGGTCGTTTGGAGCAAGTTGTAGTGGGGAGAGTAAAAAATATTAATATCAATATTTAGTGTGAGATTATAAGAGGAAAGGACAACACAAGCTTACTGGTGCAAACTGATAGGAATGGCCAAATGGGATGGGTTAGCTGGTCAGGGCTTGGGTTTGGCTGAAGCGACAGATTGTTGGCCAAACTACAAATAACATTTAAGGCCGTGGGACCATGGGCCGCTGAATGGGAAAACGGAAAGTCAAACGATCCAAATGAGGAATTTCTATCGTGCTACTTTACTTTTCTTTCCTGTTTATTTATTGCATGGTCAGCATTACTCACATTTTTTGGGTTTACAACATTCTAGATTCACATATTTTTGGTACCGTCGTGTATCTTTCTGTAGTAGTGGTTCACTTCAAGAAGCTGAGTGAATGAAGTTAGAAAACTTGACTTTCTTAGCAAGTTACCTTTTGATTTGTTGTCACAGTTTGTAGATGTAGGGACCATGGTCTCCCCAACCGTTTATGCACGACGCAGTATCTGTTATCTCATGTGTGATCAACCTGATGCGGCCCTTCGTGATGCTATGCAAGCACAATGCGTTTATCCAGATTGGCCAACGGCTTTCTACATGCAGTCAGTTGCCCTTGCCAAACTGGACATGAACCAAGATGCTGCAGACATGTTAAATGAGGCTGCTGGACTTGAAGAGAAGAAGCAGAAAAGTTGGAAAGGATCGTAAAGGTATCCTGTTTCAGATAATTAAGTGATTGTCCAGAATTCATCTCCCCTGATTTATAAAAATGTTGATAGAGATATAGCCACCTTCTTGATTGCAAATGTATCCAGTTATTGGTAAGTTAATGATAGGTTCTTCTCCTTTTGGTCAAATATGATCAGCTTTAACCCGTAGATGATGTACGAGAGGAAAAGTGCTCATTAGGCTGCACAGGTTTAGCTCTCCACCCCCCACGTTTCCACTCTAAGATAAACAGATTTTGCCATACATATGTAATGTTGAAAACGTTTAATGGCTAATCGTTGCTTAGTAACATTCAGAATAAATTTGAATTCCATCAAGTGGACACCTGATAGTTCTTGTAATTGAGGCCTTTCAGCTTCTTATAAACTCCTTTCTCTAATGGTAACTGTTTATCCTACTGTATGTGAAAGTAGGAACTGAAATCACGGCTTTTTGGGTCTCAAGTTAATGTTGTTATGTATGTTCATGGAATACAGTAACATGTGGATTCTTTAAGAGAAAATTTGAAAGAAGCGTAACAGAGGACATATTATGGACCTGTAGTAGTTTGTAGATTCAGACGGATACACTACTGGTGGGCATCCACCAATCACATTTGTTCTGAATTTTCTATTGGATATGAGGGAGTTAATGGCTATTAATTCCTTTTTGGTGGTCGAAACAGAATTCACAATAGCCAAGATGACAAGGTGAAGGAAGTGAAAAAAGAAATTTAGCAGGAATGGTTGTGCCCGCACTACATGATGTCATTAAAGTGGAGAAGTCACCATTTTAAAGTTGCTTCCCTTACATTAAACTTCCACCTGCCTCGGAGCAATTTTATTACAATGCTGAAATTTACGAAGTGTTTAAAGTTTAGCCGCCTTAGAATTAATTTAAGACAAGTAGGTATGAAGTTGAAATCGCGGGTCTAAGGTGAAATTATCCCAAAGATATATGCCAATAAAAGTGAGCATATACCACAAATGCTACGCCTCACTCCCAAATAAAGTTGGGTTGACGATACAAGTGAGCATATGATATGGCATATTCTAACGACTCATCTTTATAATAACATGGCACTTCACCTTTAGTTTTAATCTATTGTAGAGCAAACAGTGAGATGCAAGGTAGCTCCATCAATGAACTCGACATCAACCGAGGTCTGAAGCTAAATGTGCAAGCAGAGGCATAACACAGTTTGTCGCAATAGAGAAAGCAGAAGAAGACGTAGGATAGCGGTCGAATAACAACACCTAATACTGACTCGAATTTAGCTTAAAGGATATATATATATCCTCTTTCTTTCTATGAATGGTTTGGTATAAAAGACCGAGAAAGACAAAGATGTGATGATTTTTTCAGGGGCTGCTACAAAGTTGATGAAGGTAACCTTAACAGATACAAAGACGTGAATGACTTTTTAAAGGGCTGATCTGGATTTGACCAACGTAGCCCTATACTCCATGTGTTCCATTTTATGTGGTGATCTTAAGAGTATGAGAGTCAAACTATTTGATTTTTGTGGGAATTAGGCAAAGAAATATTGACATATTTGAAACACAGTACTATGAGTCACAATTGTTTATAATTTAGAATATTTGATAAAATCATGGTTAAATTAAAGAAGGATTTCTTTCTAAATAGTTAATATATGATGTTACATAAAGTAAAACAGTACTCTCATATCATATTCGGAGTATTCATTTCAGTCTTTTACCAACCTATAAACACTTTATCCACACTCTACCAGGTACATTTCAATAATCAAAGAATGTTACGTGGTCTTAGACGATCAGCCAGAGGTTCAGCGAGTTAGACTCCACTTTTTTGTTTAATACTCCTATACAAAATGGATGTCAGGGACACTATATATTACAAAAACTTAAGAGCCGCCTATTAATATTTGTAACTTGTCAACTTAAGCTGCTGAATAAAATATTGGATAAGGGAGGCTATGAGATTATCCTTCTTTATTGAACGATATCTGGTCGCAAGTCACAACCTACTATATATATATATATATATATCCCCAACTCCTTTACTTGCTTGCCATCTCTTCTTCACCAATTCCGCAAGTAAAAAAGGTCAAAATGAGACTTTTGGAGTTCACAGCTCTTTCTTCTCTACTAGTCTTGTTTCTGCTCCTGGCTGTCTCGGCAGAACAATGCGGTAGACAGGCGGGAGGTGCACGTTGTCCCTCGGGAATGTGCTGTAGCAACTTTGGATGGTGCGGAAACACTCAAGACTATTGTGGTCCGGGGAAGTGTCAAAGCCAGTGTCCTTCTGGCCCTGGACCTACCCCAAGACCACCCACCCCTACTCCTGGTCCTAATACTGGGGACATCAGCAACATCATCGGCAGTTCCATGTTTGGTCAGATGCTCAAGCATCGCAATGACAATGCATGCCAAGGGAAGGGCTTTTACACTTAAAATGCCTTTATCACTGCTGCAAGATCATTTCGTGGCTTCGGCACCACGGGTGACACCACCAGGCGTAAAAGGGAGGTTGCTGCTTTCTTTGCCCAAACCTCTCATGAAACTACTGGTAAGCCCGCCCGCAATGCTACGTACCTTCACATTATAACCTTTAATTTCTCATATGCCAAATATATATATAGCAAACAAATCAATTGAGATTAACTCGAAATCGTTGGTAAACTTGGATGTGCGTTTGTGTTGATTAATTAATTGACAATATAATAGACCCTTTTGGCAGGAGGATGGGATACAGCACCGGATGGGAGATACGCATGGGGTTACTGCTACCTTAGGGAACAAGGCAACCCTCCTAGCTACTGTGTTCAAAGTTCTTAGTGGCCATGTGCTCCTGGCCAGAAATATTACGGAAGAGGCCCCATCCAAATTTCGTAGTGAGTTTTTGTAATTCTGTTTATATAGACACATATCTTCTCGCAATAGTGCTCTGCTCCTCCAAAAAATAACTTTTGGCATATCATGAAACATTAACTCTTATTTTTTTAATGTTTATTTCAGCAACTACAACTACGGGCCTTGTGGGAGAGCCATAGGGCAGAACCTCCTAAACAATCCTGATCTGGTGGCCACCAATGTTGTCGTCTCAGTTATGTCAGCAATTTGGTTTTGGATGACGGCTCAGTCACCGAAGCCATCTTGTCACGATGTGATCACGGGGCGATGGACACCATCGGCGGCTGACAGAGCAGCGAACCGCCTCCCAGGATATGGTGTCATAACAAACATCATCAATGGGGGATTGGAATGTGGTCATGGCTCTGACGCTAGGGTCCAAGATCGTATTGGTTTCTATAGGAGGTACTGTTCCATTCTTGGAGTAAGTCCTGGAGACAACATTGACTGCGGCAACCAGAGGTCTTTTAACCCTGGTCTCTTGCTTGAGACTATGTAATCGCCTCAGTTGTGTTTACTTTCACCCACACCCACCCTGGTGTAATAATCTATTAATTTGTGATATATAGGACCACGACTGTACCGTATACAATAAGCAAAGAGTTCGTTCACAATGTACAGTGGATGTTTCTTTTTTCTTTTTCTTTTTTTATATACTGGTTTGGGTACTAATAAATGAACATCAAGTAAGTGTTCGGCCTTGTGTGACATATGTGTGCCTTCTGCTCTAGCCTCTAAGTCACCAAGCAATTACTATTGATTTTATGGTCCATGAGGCACAAAATTTTTATGTGCGCAGAATGGTTAATTTAAAATTCATTAGAAATCTGTCATCTTAATTCCGCGTTCACATTATTATTTTTAGCCTTCACATCAGGAGTTAAAGAACATAGGTTCGAAAAAGATAGGTAACATTACCTTACTTGGCAGAGTCATTGAATTCGTGTAGAGTCAAGTTGATCAGCAATGCAGTTTCTGAATGAAATTGAGCATGGAGATGACTCTGTCATTCCGCTCCATATATTTTGATTCCTTGCCGGCTGCCGCGTACAAAAAGAATTTTAGCTTATTGGATTAGCCGCGTATTTGACGCTCTAGGGGTTATATAATTAGCAGGCCCTCATGGAGTGCCCTGTTTCACCATAGAGTCAGATAGGAAGAGGCCCTTGGCTTGTTCTCCAATGAGTTTACAATCAAGGAACCAAACTTGACTGTAAAATGGTCTTCTAGTTTTATTTGTAGAGGTCGTGACTAACTAATGGCACTTTCTTTTTGAAACTAATGTCACTTTTTAGTCCAATTGTGGACCATTAATATTACAATATCAATGCCAATTTGTCACTCTAATAAAATGGAATCAAACTACCACTCTTGGAACTGGGTTGGACAATTAAAAGAGAGTTTAAATAGAAGTTGAGATATCTTTAATATGATTCAGTATTGTGCATGGTGAAGTCTTTGCAAATATGAAGATCTCTACATAAGCATAGGGACAACTGGGACAAGGAGAGAAGTGTTTTAAAATATCTGAACATTAGTTTATGTCTTGGAAAGCTATAATACATATTATGAGCTACTTATTAAAACCCAAAAAAAAAAAAATGAAACTCCTATTATATCAATCTACATATATATCTTCTTTGCACCTATGGACGCAAGAACTAATGTCTACTCACAGAGATTGTGACAAGTGAAAAAAAAAAAAAAACTAAGGGAATTTCCAGGTTCCATCATCACAAGGAGAACAACCCTCTTGAGCAATGTCAGTGATCTGAAGTCGTGTGTCATAGATCACCCCATTTCTCCAATTAGCCGGTAGTACTGCCTTAGCCCAATACCACTTGCCGTCAAACCCGGCTGTCACCACCAACCTAAATTGCAATGCGCCCTTTGGTACTCTGCTTGTGTCCCAAACTGCTCCCTCATTTCGGCTCATGAAACTCCAGTTAGATGATCCAACCTAAACGCACCACCAACATTAGTTAATTGGTACAAAAACCAATAGTTCTACTCAACTCCAAAAGAATTTAAGTGTATAGTACTAACGTAGTAGTTTACCTGAGCTATATCAACACCAACAATTTCAGTTTGACCCCCTTGATACAAGAAGGTGATTGCTAGATAATTTGGCCTTTTGCTTGATTGTTCCACCCGAATAGCCAAATTCTTGTTTTTGAAATCACAAGGCACCCTGTCCCCACCAAAAATATTATTCCCGAAATATTAGCTTTAGCATATAACCATCCATCTGGAAATCTTATCCTATCAATTTTTCTCTAATGCAATCGTGAATATGTGTACATATCATGACTTCAATATAATACACGTGCATAATGCTCTGGACAGTGATGTTCACTTGTCTATCTAATCTAGTGGGGCATGCTAACATAATTTTCTTTCTTAAAAGGTTGGTACTTTTAAAAAATAAATAAAGAATATTTGGCAGTTGTAACAAAACCACCTAAGCTAGCATCACTATGGTGTGTTAAGGACTTGGAACGTATTATTTGTGGCTTAAACTCAAACAAATTACTCAAGTGTTCAATTTTGCAACATGAGAAATTTGTACTCTCTCTGTCTTAACGCCTCACGTTTCACTTCTCGAGACCATATGAAATTTGACTACCATTCTGAAATGTATTTTTTTTAATCGTATTGACATGATAAATTATATAAGTACTACTTTTTATATAGTTTTTAAATATTTATATTTAAATATTAAAATATTAAATTGATCTAGTCCAATTTAAAGCAAAAAAATGTTGCATAAATTGAGATTGAAAGAGTACATAGTATTAGACTAGTAGTGCACAGAGTAAGTGAAGGTAACCTACGGACCTTTTGTACTCGACATCGACGATACCGAGTTTGAGAAGGTCTTGAGCTTTGCCTTGATTAGCCATGGCGCTGAAAGCTCTGCTGCTGACTACAAAATCCGTCTGGTTGTTGGTATTCTGATCAGTTACAGTCACCGTAGTACCTTCCTTTGAACAAAGTTTTGAATTCTTGCATCTTATCTGCAATTCAATTAGGTTCCATAAATCAACTGGAAGAATATTGGATATATTTTCAGTGACTAAAATTTCCACTAGTTTTTCTTTTCTTTTGTTGAAATAAATTGAATTGCATATATGCTATGGGACGAAAATGGTAAATAAATTAAAACCTGATAACAAGCACCACAACGAGCTCCCTCTTTGTAGAGACTAGGAACTGCTGCTGCAAGCCGACCCCCATTAAAGCCTACAGCTGAGGAGCCATAACCACAAGCACCAGCTGTAGAATTGGAATCATACGCAAATAAAGAGTGATTAACAAGTGAAAAGAGTAGTATTATTTCTGAGAAGCCGATGCTCAATAAGTTTAAAAACAAGCTAGGTTTCTTTTCAGTTCCAACAGAAATATATAGTTTCATCAAGATTATAAAAATAAAGAAACGAGAGGGAATTGAGTAGGGGTAGAAAATATAAAAAAAGCTTACACTGAAGGGCAGAAGCCTTGGAAAAGTAAGCAACCTTTGATTGGTGGACACAGCGATCGCAAGCTGTTGCAGAGTAGATCATAAGAAGAAAGAATAAGCATGAAACTATAGGGAAAGCCATATTTCTTTGGTCAAGAAAAATGTAGAGAGAGGATATACTGACTGACTGATTGGGGAGTGGCGAGGTCTATATAAATACTCTGAAGAAATGATTGAAATAGTAATAGTAGCCTCATAACGCGTGCACTCAACGATATGTCGCGTTTGTTTTTTAATTTTGTTGCCGTGTATAGAGCAAAAGGGAGGAACAGTAAATAAATCCAAACAGGAGATAAGGAAAAAAGAAACACGGATACATACACCAAATGCCAATACGCGGCGGGGAGTAATTCTAGGAAGGAAGTGAAACTAGATAAAATGAATAACGATAGTGGCGGATATGCTGGCAAGTAGCACACTGAGGTTAGTGCGGTGTCCACACGCCGACTAGCTGCTAATGCTCTTTTACAACAAAAGTGTACATAACTTCTATTGCGTGTCTATTTGCTTCTTCTTTTTTACCTTTTCTTTCCCTTAAACTTCCTTACGTATAGAGTCAGTGAGACACCTCTCATTAAGAGATTTGTGTGTGCACCTCTGAATTGCATATGTTAACTTTATATTTAATGTTGATAAATCCATGTATTCAAAGCCATAAAATCAGAGAAGTAAAAAAATATTAGATCAATAACCAAAAACAGAAAATTCCGAGCCCACAAATTTATTGTGTGTCCTTAAGGAATTTAATCCCCTTACAATTGCCCAAGGTTTCGGATTATTTCCTCCCAGGATAGAACGGAATAACTATTCTGTGATAGTGGCACTACAAATCACAGAACTTCAGCAAACTCAACAAACGGAGCAAATCACACTTGACACTTATGTTGAATTGAAAAAGTGATGCAATAATGTAGAAAAGAGGGGACAAGTTTTCAGTTTTTTCATGTTTTAAACATGAGGCTAAGCCTCTAGATATATAGATAATGAAAGGGTGAGATGAAGAGGTGCAATTCAAAAGGTGCCTCTTTCGTTTTTCATTGACACTCATTCACAAAACCTAACAATCCCCGACATGAATGGGGAATGGAAACATATTTAAAAACATGCAAAAAACTTGTGTGATGCCCAAGTAAGGATTAATCGCATCTGGATGAGTAGGTTTCCCTTTGAACTTTCCTTAGTGAACATATGTCGGATATACTCAGTCAATCGGTAGATTTGATATCTTTGAACCATCGAGTTTTGGTGTATACCTAGACAACCATAATGTCATGCTCCGAACCTAGGGGAGAGACCGGCACCAGGTGTCTCACTTAACCTAGCGTAACAACATGCGACTAAGGGACTCTCAACATATAATGCCATACATTGGCCATGAGGCCACATTGCAAGACAATTTGCGAAGCAAAACATAAAACTGAATGCAAACTAGCTCTGAGTAAACATCAATATAAAGCTGGACCGACAATGCCGTCATAACAATTACAGCTGACAAACTAACAAAATATACATACAAGACCTACAAGCCCAACATACTGCACTAACTGACAGGATATGTCTACAAGCCTCTACTGATGGATGTACTGTGATCGGAACAGGGCCCCGACCTATCCATAATATATATACATATATACATAATTGTACACAAAACCCTAGACCGGGCAACTCCGAAGGACGTGGAGCTTACCGATCAAGCTGAATTCGGGAAACACCTACTGAGGAGGTCTACTCATCTGTCTATCTGAACCTGCACGCATGAAATGCAGCGTCCCCAGAAAATGTACGTCAGTACGAAATAATGTACAGAATATGTAAGACAATAAAATAACTGAAAGCTGAAACTGAACTGATAATATAATAACTGAAAGTAACTGAGAATCAAAGATGATTTGGAGATATACTTACCTGCTGATACTGACTCAAGTCTCTCAATATAGTATGTAAAATAAATGCCCGGACCTATAAGGCTCGGTACGTGTAATTGCTCGATCGTAGTAGGCTCGCTCATAGGCGCTCGACCATACTAGGCTAGATATCTCGGCCATTCTGGGCTCGCTCAGGCGCTCGGCCACAGTAGGATCGGAATATTACTTACCATCTGATTAGAGGTTGCCCAATAGAGGCCTGCCCACCTATTATAGCTCGATGGTGGTGAAAATACTGTAATACTGTATAAATACAAACCCTCTGCTCTCTTGACTGGAAGAAGGCAATACTCAATTGAATATAAAGTCCCGATAAGGGAGAATACTGTAACTTATGAGACTAGGATAATGTACATAAGTTCATGAATACAAACTTCT